TGCTGTTTACAATTAGTTCACGGGTGAACACATTTCTAATAATTGTAAAATTTATATATATATAAAAGGAGTTTTGAATTTCTATTAGGATAACACCTAAAACTGTATATGACTAATTAATTAAATCCAAATTTGTATATTAAAAACTATAATATTACTCTTATTATTACCCTAAACAAATAAGATTCAATTTATATTTGCATTATTTTATTTTGTATATTTGAATCACAAACTCTATATATAAATTAATTAAAAATCCGTTGTTTTTAATTATTACACAGAAGGAAAAAATTGCTATACAAAATAATTTTAAAATTTATATATAAAATGGGTTTGGATTTCGTTTAATAATTTCTCCAATAGTAGTTGATTTTTTTAACTAAACTATATTGTTTTTACTTGGAAAAATCATTCTTAACTACACAAAGTATTGGCTAATATGTTGCAAACCATCCCAAGTATAGAATTGTGTTCTAAACTACATAGGCTATTATATAATACATGATGACATACACCAAGTATATGTAAACATGTTAAAAACTACAAATTGGTGGCTTTTGATAAATATTTATTAATTTGAGGGTTAATTTGTAATTATTTTCATAAAAAACAAGTTTTTTTAATAAAAATCTAAAAAATTAAGAACATAAAAAACTTAACAAATCAAAAAAAAATCCATAAAATTTTGAAAATATAAGAAAAAATATATATTAATTTTTATAGAAAATTTAAATTGGTAAAATCCCAAAACTTTTAAAAATACAAAATTTATTAATCTCAAAAAGGTAATTGAAAATGCAATGTATATAGTGTTCCAAAATTATATATTTTGAAACCATTGAATTTTTTAGACAAAAATAAACATAAGTTTTTAAAATGTTGGTCAATGTGGAAGCTGAATTCCGCACTATGTATTTGTATGTGAATTCGGAGAAGAAACTTTGGTCGTAAGAAAGATCTATACATTCAACGATTAAAGGAAAAGTAGAATGAAGCTGGATTTATATTGATATAAATCGGATATACAATAAGATCTCGAATGAGACGTGTTACAAGCTGAAAGTGTTCCCTCCGGATTGGATTGGCTTCCTCAGAAGGACTTGCTCTCGTGTAAGTAAAGTTGGTCGAAATCGGCTTGGATCTCCTCTATTTATAGCTTCTTTCACCTCCTTGATCTAACGCCACGTCTACAGGGCGGTTCCGCGTATATCGAGCACGTTCTCAGCATATTCCCCAGAAATCTCGCTTCCTTGACTGTGCCAACCGCCCTGTTGACTCGTTCCTAGCTCGTTAGCTCGTTCCTCGTTGACTTGTTAACCGTCGAGCTGACCCTGGGTTCTCAGGACTGGTTTGGGCCTTAGGGCCAAACCTTATATTTTCTCTGATAATTGGCCTCAGGCCCATTGTATTCTTTTTAACAACAGACTTTGACTCGGGCTTTTAGCAGGCCGGATTCTGTGACGTATCCAGCTCCAACAGTTGCCCCCCAGTCCATTAAATATTAGATATTATTTACTTGATGGGCAGTTAATCATCATTATTCTTCTCGTTTACCCCGTATATTCTCATCATTCAGGCCGCGTGTATCTCGCCAATGAATACATAAAGATTTTATTTTAACGGCTCAGATCCTCGATCAACAGTTGCGATTCCAGTATATTGAATCTCGCAACTTCTGAGTGAAAAGAGGAGGTGAAAGATCTTCTCCGGTTCACTAGCTGCACCAACTAAGTATAAAACCGCTCTTCACACATCTCCCTAACCCCACTTGCTCGGACTCGATTTTCAAGGTAAGAAAATAACTTCTCCATCTCTCCCTCAATTCCAAGTTTAATAGTCAGCCCGATTTTACTGCTTAATTTATATCTGTTTCCTTCTTCTACTTAGTAAAAGGAAAATCCTCTAGGCTATTACTGTTAACGAGCTCCTCTTTTTGGCTTTAAATTTTTACTTTGTTACTATGGGTCCCCATGAACCTCGTGCTCAATTCGGCCCGTATCCTCGGTCAATTTCAACTCCTCAGGACCTGCTCGATCTCCGGGAAGATATGGGTTTCCCGGACGGGGTTGAATTATCGCCGGCTAATGCCGATGACACACCAAAAACTACGAGACCCGAGTGGTGTTGTGCACACCTGAGCTATTTCTCTGCCTGCGGGCTCACCTTCCCAATTTCCCTCTTTCTCATCCATGTTTTGAGGTACATAGAGCTTGCCTTCCCTCAGATGAGTCCTAATCTCCTCTGTCATGTCATCAGTTCCTTCGTCTGATCTTATGAGGAGGGTCAAGACACGACCGCCTCAGAATTCCTCAACTTGTATATGGCTTAGAGGAATTCGAGGTTTCCTAGCTGTTTTTATATGTCGAATCGGATTGGTCGGCAGATAATCATCGGAACGACCTCCATCATAGACACGAATTGGCAGAAAGAATATTTTTTCTTTAGAATTTCCCGTGGCTCTGTATCCTATGTAGATGAATTCAATTCCCTTCCGACCCGTTTTGCTGACTCTGTTGGTTAGGAATTCTAATTTGCATGCTCCTATGGACTGCCTAAGTTGTTGGTTCTAACTTATCATTTCCTTTGCCCATGTGCAGACAATCCGAAAGAGAAAGAACTGGACGATTCCATCGCATCTCGGATAGCTTGGCTACGCAACGAACCTGTCAGCTGGAGTTCGTTCACCCCCGACAGAATCACAGCAGCTTACGCCTCGTTTGAACTAGCCCGAACTGCTCAACCAAGACCGGTTCCTGCTCTCGATTTAGGGTCGCTTCCTCTCACTGTCATTCCTCCTGTGCTTCATTGTCTTCGAGCACTCGACTAATCCTGACAATGTCTTGGAGACCAACTTTCCGTCGTCCCAACGAGCTCCCGACATGGTCCTCCGATTGAGTCCAGAGCGGGGACGTTACGGCAGCTATCCAATAAGCTCTTGGAACGGTAGCTGAGGTTTTTGCCCCGCAGCTCTTCCGGCCATTGTTGCGGCTATCTCAGCCACCTCCTCCTGTACTGGTAGCTCCTCCGGTAGAGGAGCCAGCACCCACCTTGCCTCCGACGGGTTCCCAATCTAACTCCAGGGGGTCGTCCGAGACTTCCCATCGTTTCAAGAGGGCCAGATCTAGGTTGATCAAGCCAGATCTATTTCTCCTAGCGGCTCTAGTGGGAGTAGGCCTTTCTTTTGGTCTTATTCTCATGCCAAGGACTACCCGGTCACGGACGATCCAGAGGGCATGGCTCATATGTTCAGTCATTGCAAGTCTGCGGACTGCCCTATACTGGCGGTCAAGAATCTTGTTCTCCACGATATGTACGTTGCTATGGCGTCGACATTTGGGAAGGTTTGATTCTATCTTTGTTATTTACTCGGCGCTTCAAGGTTAGAGTTATAACGTTTAACCGTACTTATTTCCTTGCTTCTAGGCTATGGAATCGGCCAACCAGCTGGTGGCGGACGCCGAATCCCGTCTCTATGATGTCCCCAGGAAAGAGGAGATAGAGGACATGAAGAGTGTTCTGGACGGAATGGCTGCTGACCTGGGCACCTCACGGGCTGAGGCTGCTGATCTTAAAGGGAAGCTTGCGCTTCTATTCGATCAGTCCGACTAGATCACCGTGCTGCATGGGGCAGTGGCTTATCTGGAGGGGCAGTTGGGTCGTGCTAACGAAAAAGCCGCCTTGCTTTTGGAGGAGAGCAGGGCGCCATTCAGCAGTCAGCTGATCTGTCTGCGTTGAACTGGGAGCTGGAGGTCGAATTGAAGGCTTTGAAGACTTCTCGTGATGCCTAGGTGAAGGCAGCTCGACGCAATGGCCGACGTGACCTTGCTACGGAATACATTATCATCCTCTAGCTTATCAGTGACAAATTCAAGAGGAAGAATAGCGAGGTTGCCGCCGAGATCAGTCTTCAAAAGTTTCACACAAATATCTAGTTGCTAAGGCGCTGACCAAGAGGGCCACTACCTTGAGGAGGAGCACGAGAAGCTAGTTGCTCAGAAGCTGGTACTCGAGAAGGAGTTCGAATCCGCCAAGGTGTCTAACGTCTAGATTAGTAAGCTGCCCCTCCCCCAACTTTCAGAGGACTTTGTTGCTGCGGACATGGAGGTCGACCCGAGGGCAAACATTGCCGAAGGTTCTGGCTTGCAGGTTCCCCAGGATCAGGGTAGTTCCGATACTCCGGACGCAGCCAAAGAGACTTAATCTCTTCCTTTCTTTTTTTTTAATAATACGGCTTCTGCTGAGGCTTCGAACTTATTTCCTTTTGTTTCTTTTAGTGCCCGGGAGGGCTTTGGATCCACGTACTTTTCCCCTTCTGGGCTTTTAAGTTTTTATTTCAGCGTTCTTGCTTTAGTTAGCTCTTTACTTAGCTCTTCATATTTCGTAATTCCTAGCACAGTTGTCCAGGTCGGATCAGGCTAGCTGATTCTTCCAGCTTGGTGATCCCTCAAAGGTGAGAGTCAAAGTGGCGTTGACGCCATGATTTTGACTCATATTTTCTCTATGTATTTCCTTTCTTTTATTGGCTTTCAGCTCAGCTTCGTGCTGGGCTGCTCCAACTGCTTTGAACTAAGTGATGTTCTTGAATCGAATCCCTCATTGGCATGTAAGATCACAAGAGTTGTACTTTTCAGCGTCTCTGCACTACTCCTTGTAGCGATGTTAACAATGTTGGTCACTAAAAATTTCAATAATTTACAATAAAATACATAAACGATATATATATTACACTTATTCTTCGTAGAACATTTTACTTGTGCCTTCGGTACTATCCCAACAATAACTATTGAATTTTAAATTTAATTTAATTTTTGAAATTCAAAATTGCAAGTATAATCTAACTTATATTTTCACTATAAATTGTTGTTTAAGAAAATAGTTTTTTAGAATTTTTTTTTTTAATTTTGTATTATTATAAATTATGGTAATTTAAAACATAAAAATAAAAATATAATTAAATATTTATCTTAACCTTCAAATTATGTATTTTCGTAAATTTAATTTTTTTTTGAAATTATTTTTTTGTTTTTTAATTTTGTAATTTTAGAAACTTTGGGATTTTACAAATTTAATTACTATATTTTCCTTATATATATATTTTTGAAATTTTATGGAATTTCTTTTAATTTGTTAAATTTTGTCAATTTTAATTTTTTGGATGTTTTATTTTTTTATGAAAATAATTACAATTGACCCCCAAATTAGTACATATTTATCAAAAGACACCAATTTGTAGTTTTGAATA